AGACTTGTTTCCTGTGAACAAACCGTCACAGAGGTGGAAGCTGAGCATAGTGTCCAGCTGCTGCAGCATCAGCATAGAGCAGCTGATGTACCAGCTGACTGTTGCAGCATCACTGTGTGCCACAAGTCCTGCACACCTCTCTTTAATTTGGAAGATCATCATTTAGCCTGGAAAATAGTTTGCTGCTTTATAAAAAAGAAGTTGTTTTATTAGTTGCAAGGCACTGTAATTATGAGGCAACTTAAAGGTTTGATTCTAGAAGAATGGATGTGATCCTCTCTTACTGATTGGCTAGAAATAACCTCACTTCCAGCATTCACACCACCACCTCTGTCTCCTCTTTACACTGTCTGATTCTGTAATATAGCAACTACAGTGTGTGGCCATCATGCTATCAAGTTAAAATACTGGAACAAACATCAGTTTAGTTACAACTCTCACAAAGGACCCAACCTGTAACTTTGTGTCTGTTACAAAAACAAATGACACTGTTAACTCCCTCTGCTATGAATTCAAAAGATTTAAATTAATGCATGTATTAGGCGTAGGTGGGGCAATATGTAAGACAGGCTGTACATTGCTATAATTATTGGATTTTTCATCTGATAAGCTTTTAAAGAGAAACTGGAAATTTCTGAGACTGAAAAAAAAAAATTAAAGTATCTCGCCTCCCTCTCTGAATAAAATTGGAATAGTGTGTGGATGATGGTGACGCGTACTTCTGATGTCGTGTCCAGATCTGCGGCACAGATTGTTTCACTTGATGATAAATGCAGTATTAGCAGTGTCAGCTAAATTTTCCGGTAGTGTACCGGAAGACGGTTGTGCCAAAGCACGTAGAAGCACATCTGAGATAAGAGATGAGCGGATAGGAGCGTTTCTCCTCCGAGTCTGTTCGACTGAAGATTCCACTCGCAGTCAGAAACGAGACAAGTCACATCGGGTTTCTGCTACTATTTTATTTAATTTGTTCAGTACTGGAGTTTCATGGACTAAACAATGGCACACCACTGCGTTACAGTTTCTCTCTTTGGATACAACCAACTAACACAAACGTTAAAATTATTCCTCTACAGAATGGACTAAAGTACACATACACAACCTCTGTTTCTATCACAGGCGCCCAGCACAAAGACTCACACACAAAGAATCAGTCACGCACACGTTCTGTCGACACTCATAAACCACATTCATACCCACTCACAACCGAATACATTCTCAGAAAAAAACAATTATAAATTTTTAGAGCATTTCATATAACTTTTTCCATAACACTCATCATGAACAGGACCCACCTCAAACAGGAAGGAGGCCGTACCGCAGTATATCTGACCTGGAGCTGAATATCCAACAAAACGACTAATTTGGGAAATTACACAATGATTTTGGTGAGAACAGCCTTGAGGACACTCTGTATTTCCACATGTAGCTGTCGTACAGGGATGATTCTCAGCCACTGCAAAAATACATTTTTTTATTTTCCTTACTTTAAAAAAAAAAAATTAATTCTGGACAAAAACCCTAAACTTTGACCAGTTTATCCCAGGTGAGTGCCATGCAGGACCAAACTGCAGGTTTTGCTTCAGCCCATTAATTACAAGTAGTTCACAAAAATGCATACTGTTTTTCAAAGCAAAAGTCTTTTGATTGATTTCCTACCTTCTGGTTTCATTTCAGAGCACTATGAAAATCAACTTTCAGACTTTAAAAATCCCTCATTGTAGTTTTTGTAATATCTTGTATTGTAGCGTACATTCAAGAACATGTGTTTTTGGAGCATTAAATCAAAGACAAAAATGCACAGCTAAGTACGTAACTAACGAGTTTGTACCATCGATTCTAATAGATTATTGAACTGGTTTCTGTGCTGTTTCTGATAATGACTTGAAAATGAAACAGTTACATTGTATTGAATGCTCCTTCACGTGTTGACCCAGTAATTTCATTGAGGACAAAGGGCATTCACTGGCTAACAGCTAATGCAGCACACCCACTAACAGAGACACATGATACATAATATAGCCACTAGCTGGCTCATCCTAGCTTTCCTTAGCTAAAGTTAGCTAGCAATACTGTTGACACTGGGGGAGCATCAAGTAATACTTTGGATTTTATCTGCGACATTCACACTGAAGTCACTCCACAGACCGTTACAGGCAATGCAAATTTGAAACTAAAAAATCTGAAACTGTTGAGTAACTGTCCTCTGAGTTTCAAAATGGTCCGTGCTAGCAAACTGCACGCCATGCAAGTTTATATCACGTAAAGTTAACTGTCATAGTGCACTGAAAGTTTCGTAGCTTCTACTTTGAAAAATACTCAGCAGTGATTTGTGTTTGAGAACAAAAGTAGCAAAACCATCAAGGTGGTCATTTATTTGAACGTCAGTGTGACAAGCTCCAATTTAGCAATGGCTATCCCTTATCTTCCTTGTGCCCAGCACAAAGACTAGAATGACACAGGTAACAGGACATTAGTCTCTAAAAAAATGTCAGCACTGATAAGGGATTTTACATTGTTACCATCAGCATGCATGTTGTTGAGCAGAATTACACACAGATCAGGGAAGCTGTAGTTGCTACAAACGCTCGGGCACGAGATGCTTCTCATTCCGACCGCGCCACTACCTTCACCTTCAGACCAACACTGCACTCACTCCTGACTCGCTTTTCAACTCCAGTCTCAGTGTGCAGATGTAGAGTCCATCTTCAATATGCGCTATAGGAGTTTATATATTAGTAACAATGGGAATGACACAGAAACGTTTAGTTTGTTATAAAAGAAAAGTATAGTACACTCACATTTCCTGTTTAATGGAAAAGTGCGCATCTGTTTGAAGTCATTTTAGAAACTTGTAGATATTGTGATGTATAATGCCATCATGCAAGAAGCGTTTACAGACACTTCTTCTCTCTGGCAGCTATATAACGTATGTGAGGGCTGAAGTAGGACTGGGGGGGTGAAAACACGTACTGTAGCGATGGCAGCATGGCTGGATAATCCAGCGCTTGCACTGTATTTCTGTGTTTCAGTTTATTCTACAGTCGAAGGCTTTGAGATGCTTCAGCCTACCTAACTCTGTGTGTGTGTGTGTGTGTGTGTGTGTGTTATTCAGACAAATTTGAGGGTAACTGCAAGCTACAGAGTGGAAGCAATAACAGGAGACACAGCTGCTTCTTTTTCTTATCTCCACCACACCGGGCACATAACACAAAAAGGTAACAAAACATGTAACTTAGATGTAACTACAGTTTAAAATATAAAATTCAAGTGCAATGAAAGTTCCAAATACTAGTTACACCAGGTACATTTCTCTATAACGTAACAATCTGTTACTTGCAGGTAGTTTTATCTCATCTCAAAATTACAATGTAGATTTTGCAATTTGCCCAATTGAATCTTTCCCCAGTGGATAAAGCATTTAAAGGATTTAGATGTCACCACTTTAACATTTCTGATTTAAGTGCACTGGTTGTTTTCTCATCTCTGTCTCGTGCACGACAGGGCCAATAAAGAAATCCAGTTCAGGCTGTGCTCTGCGTGGGCACCTGTGTATGTCCACACGCTTGTTCACAGATCATTTTTAAAACATCTGCAAGTTCCAAAATGTTCAGTATAAATATTAAAAAAGGACATAACAACACAGAAAGCAAAGACTGTAGGATACAGTTGTTAGAGAATGTGCAAACAACGGGAAATGACTGTGAGGAAAGAAGAAACAGAGTTTGACCGATATGCTGGGTAGCTGATGCTGGCCTTTGTTAAGTGCTGCTGTGTAATAGCAGGCGATTCAGACTTTTAGAGTTTTTTAATATGCATGTTTTAAACAACAGCTACATGTTGATCAATCTGCTTTGTTTTTGAGTTGGATGAGCAGATGAGGTTTTGTTAAAGCTGGAGTACCAACATGTTTGCCTGTGTTGCTTATGTTCTCATAACCTTGTAGGATATTGTACTTGAAGTAGTCTGACAGGGAATAACACCCTTGCACCTTCACAGGGTTCTGCATTCGGGCTTTAGTCTTAGCGAGAGACGTACAGTTACAGGTCTTTTCACACCTGATCAGCTCGACTATAAAACAGATGGAAAAGGTCGTGTTGTAAGCAGAAAACAGTGGAGGAATGGATTACGGCTGGTTAGCCTAGCACTGACAGACCAGGAAAGACTAGTCGATAGACCGAGTCGTCTTTTTTCCACAAAGCTGCTCATAATATTTCAGTTTTTTGGGCATGGGGGGGCTCCTGCAGATGAAACAAACTGACATGTGGGATGTACCTACAGGTTGGGACTCTGCTGTTTCGCTGCACATCCTCCACTTGATCACCACTTTATATACATTCTATAAAACATTCAGAGAAAGGAAATATTTGCCAGATGATTTTACTAAATTAGTAAATTACCATAGTTACTGTACTGTTTCTACTGAAAAATATGTATTCATTGTTACTGCCAGATAAACCCTTACTCAGATAGCATGCCTGTGGTAGTTAACAGTTCAGTGCAAAATCTCCAAATTTAAGAAAGAATATATCAATACAATATACAGTATAAAAATATAAATACTGGCCTTCAAAAACCTCTATCGGTCAAACCTTGTACAGAAAGCTCCATTGTTAGTGATGTCTTACGAGTTAGAAAGCTCAAATATACATGGATGAATAGACAGAGGCGGGGCAGAAGTGGGATGGGGGTTTGGGTTACATTTAGTTTGCTGGATTTGGAATGATGCAGGATGTCAGGGTTGTTGACCAGGACGTAGACGGGCCCGTCTATTTGTATGGTCGTAGGAACCTGGAGACTTTGGAGCGCAGCAGCTTGATGAAAGAACGAGGGAACATCTCTTTGGACTCTGCTGCTGTGTACTTGAAATAGTTCTGGGGGTGAGCCAGCACATCAAATAGGGCTTTTATCAGCTTCTTGTCCTGTGGGGAGAATAAAGATACAAACACTGTCAGCATCTTATGAGGTGATGATTTTTTTTACCTTATATGTTAGTGTTTGACCGTGGAACAAAGATCAGCTGCTAACATGATCACATTACATGCATACCTTGAGAATCTCCTGGTGATTCTCAGAGGCGTATAGCCTGCCATCCCGCACGATGTCTTCTATCAGCTGCTGGTAGTCCTCTGCAGCACAACAGGGTTAAATCAGTGGGTGAAAATACACAACGCAGTGGAATAAAAAGCTGTAAGATCGTTTAAGGTTGGCTGTCACTGAACTGCGATGAAGCTGACTCACCATCGTAGGTGACGTACGGAACTTGGAAGCCTTTGCCGCTGTTCCCCTCGTTGGACTTGAACTGGATCCAGAGCTTACGGGAGCGGGAGGTGAAGGCGATGGGACGCTCGTAGGTCTGACACGTCTCGTAAGTGGTGATAGAGGTGGGATGGGCTGAAGACACAGCACACAGCACAGTTAGAATCTGCTAGAGCTTGTTTTTCTTGGAGCATGTGGAATGACCTAAAGCTCAGGTGT